AGACCCTTAATAACCACTGCATGGTTTAAAATCAGGAAGGGAGTGCATCTGGGCTGTATCCCTTCACCACACTTACTCAATCTGTATGCTGAGCAAATAATCCAAGAAGCTGAACTATATGAAGAAGAACATGGCATCAAGATTGGAGGAAGACTCATTAACAACCTGCGATATGCAAATAACACAACTTTGCTTACTGAAAGTGAGGATGACTTGAAGCACTTACTAATTAAGATTGAAGACTACAGTCTGCGGTATGGATTACAGCTCCACACAAAGAAAACAAAAATCCTCACAACAGGACCAATAAGCAGCATCATGATAAATGGAGAAAAGATCGAAGCTGTCAAAGACTTCATATCACTTGGTTCTACAATGAACACCAATGGAAGCAGCAGTCAAGACATCAGGCGTCGTATAGCATCGGGCAAATCTACTGCAAAGGACCTCCTTCACGTGCTGAGGAGCAAAGTTGTCTCCTTGAAGACTAAGGTGCCCTTGACACAAGCCATGGTATTTTCAATCGACTCATATGCATGTGACACCTGGACAATGAGAAAGGAAGACCGAAGAAGAGTAAATGCTTTTGAGTTGTGGTGCTGGTGAAGAATGCTGAGAGTACCATGGACTGCTTAAAAGAACTAACAAATCTGTCTTGGAGGAAGTGCAACCAGAATGCTCCTTGGAAGCGAGAATGGCCAGACTTCATCTCACCTACTTTGGTCATGTTTTAAGAAGGGACCGTTCCCTGGAGAAGGATGTCATGCTTGGCAAAGTGGAGGGACAATGGAAAAGGGGAAGGTCCTCAATGAGATGGACTGACACAGTGACTGCAAGGATGTGCTCAGGTGTAGCAGAGATCGGGGGGCTGGCACAGGATGGGACAGTATTTCGTTCTGCTGTGCGCAGGATCACTATGAGTTGGAGACAACTCAATGGCACCTAACAACAGCAACAAACAACAGAACTGGCAGAGGCCCAACCACCCTGGGTTGCCTTGCTGGCCCAGTCCATTCCTGGCAGAGTCGATACTAAGAGCATGTTTTCGTGGCCAGAATTGGGCTGAAACATGATCCCTGTTGGGTTGTGGGGAAGCAACATGAACAGACTCCCTGGAAGAAACAAGGGCCCACACTGGACACCTTCCCCGTCAAGTTCCCCCACAGGGCGGCCTCCCTCCTCTCCACAAGGAGTACCGCATTGAGCTGCAGCTCCAGGCTGAGGACGCCTCCGCTGTCCAGCACTGGCAGCAGCCTCAAGGCAAACACAGCAGGGCGCTCCGGGGGAAGGGCCACGCTGGGGCCAAAGAAGATGTAGAAGTGGACGGAGAAGGTATCCAGCTCGTTGCGCAGCGTCGGGCGCACTGGCCAGCAGTGCTCGGGGGGAGACGTGCCCCCAGGCCCCTCTGCGGGGGCCCCGAGAGATGGAGGCTCTGGGGGCAATGGCTGGTTGCCCAGTGACTGAGGCATGTTCATGGCAGCTCCAGGGACCAGGGCGCGGGACAGGCTGGGCTGTGGGCACTCTGCAGGGCAGAGAGAACCAGAGCTGGGGCCTGCAGCCCTCCCGGCCCTGCGGCCCCACCGCAAGCCAGGTCTGAACCAAACAGGACCAAGCGAAGGGTAAAAGGAGTGACAACGAGAATCACATGTCTTTGGAAATATGGGTCATCTGGGGTCACAGGACGGGGCCCAGGGCTTTCCAAGGGGTCACAGCTAATGGAATGTCAGGGAAAGAAGGATCTTTGTTGTCCCCCTGGGTAGTGAAGACACTGTTGAGACAAAAACTAAGTGTGATGAACCCTGCTTACCCCAGAAAATAGAGATTATGTCCAGGGTAGTGATGGGGTCCTACAGGGTCACGATGAGTCAGAATTGACTGGATGGCAATGGGTTTGGAGTTTGGGTTAATGAGGTCCCTTCCAGTTGGTGGTGGTGGTGCCATCAAGGCAATTCTGACTCACAGCAACCCTAAGAGACGGAGGAGAACTGCCCCACAGGGCCTCCTAGGCTGTAATCGTTATGGGAGCAGACGGCCAGGGCTTTCCTCCCATGGAGCAGCTTGGGGGTTCACACCTCCAACCTTTCAGTTAGCAGCTGAGCACTTAACCACTGTACCATCAGGGCTCCTTAACCACATCAGTGGTCTAACATGATCTGGAGGCCTTCCAGTGACTTAGAGCTCCATGTGGGAGTGCCTGAGGGAGTGGGAAGGAGCTGGGTGAGGTTGGGGAGCTGGTAGGCAGGGCCACAAGAGAAAGCCAGTGAACACAGCCACCCACGGCCACCCCTTCTGGGATGTCTGCACAGGCTGCATTGCCAACGCAAATGGAAGGTCCTGACCTTGCAGCCGCACACACAGCTGGAAGCGAACGGTCCTGCCAGGGCCCCGGGATGCTGTCTCCACACGCACGTAGACCCAGTGCCCCCAGGGCGGCAACGCCAGCTCCAGCTGGCATGCTGAGACACCTCCACAAGTCACAGAGCTCGAGTTGTGCAGGGGTGGGGCCTTGGGACGTAGGCGCAGAGTCAGGGGGCAGGCGGACGCCCCGCGGCCCCCCACACACACCAGCTGCGCTGAAACCCTGTAAGTGAAGCTGGGCACAAAGACCCTGGCCAGAGGGAAGGTTGAGGTAAGAAACGAGGGAGCAGGGACGAGAGAGGGACACCAGGGTGAGGAGACCGTCAGGAAGCAGGGGGCACGCGGGGGACGGGTGACAGAAGGAGCAGGTGGTCTGCTCACCTCTTCCCCCCGGGGCTGGGAGAGGGAGGCGGGGGTCTGGCCCAGCCCGGGGGCTCTAGACGACCCAGCAGTCCAGGCTGGCAGGAGGAAGGGCTGAGGAGGAGTCAAGAGGGAGCCCAGCTGCCTGTCGGGGGCCAAGGAGAAGGCAGAGGGGAATGGCCAGGTCGGGGTGGTGGTGGTTGGGAAGCGGGTATGTGACCTACTTGTACAGAGCTGAGCCATTGTGTGCGGAGAGGGTTTGCTCCGAGGGGCGGCCAGGAACCAGAACAGCAACGTCTAGCAAACGCCGGATGATCAGCTGCGGCTGGAGAAGGTACTGACACTCATCCTGGAGACCCTGAGAGAAAGCAGGGGTGGCAGGAGCGGAGAGACAGATGGTGCTCCGGAAGCAGCGCCAACAGGGCCTGCTGGGGGAGGGCAAGGGTCCCCTGGTGTCCTACTCCCAGGGCTCTGACCAACGGCTCCCTGGGCTCCGGGTCCGTGCGGCCTGCACAGCCATCTCTGTCATCACCTCTGCCCTCCCGAGGCGAAGTTCTCAGACTCAAACCAGGGTCCTCCAGACGTTCAGGTCCTGCCTGACCCGTGTCCGATCTAACCCCTCCACCTAAGCGTTCCTGGGCAGAGCCACTTCCCAGTTACCTGAAACCACCGATCTACCCCCCACCAGGTTCTCCCCGATTAGAACCTGGCTCTCCTCTTGGGCTGGAAAACTCATTCAAGTCTCCAGTCCGAACTCGCCCCTCTTCCACCATCCACCTGAAGCTAACCGCCCTTACTCCACATCCTGCCTGCCTCAAACGCTCCCCCAGTCTCCGCTTTCACACCTCCAGTGAAGCACCTCTCAGGGCACCCCCCAGTCCGTCTACCACTTGAGAACAGGACACCCGTCTTGTTTTATTTGTGTTTCCCTAGACACAGGGCTGAGCAGAAGGGCAGACCTCAGCACTGAATGCTTGCTGAGTGAGTAAGTGAACTGATCCAGCTGGGGCCGCTCTGACCTTTCTGAAGCTAAAACCTTCAGAGAGGGACACCAGGGTGAGGAGACCATCAGGAAGCAGGGGGCACGGGAGGGAGTCGTCTGTGACTTCCCTCCTCCCACTGTGCCCCCAAGGCCCACAGAGCCTCCACTCTCTCTACCTCAGGCCGCTCCCTCTACCCCAGGCACTCCCTCTACCTCAGCCTGCTCCCTCTACCTCAGGCCATTTCTTCTGTTCCTAGAATAGAACCACCACTCCTCCAGCTTCTCTTCCCCTTCATGAGATCTCGAGACCCCTCTCTGCTCAGCGGACACCACCCTGCCCCCCACCCCAGCCTCCGCAGTCTTCAGCGAACAGAGCCCAGTTCATTACAGTTCCTCCTCTAGCCCTGTGCAGGGACAAAAGTTCCAGGACCTGATTCTCCACTGAGCCCCATGACATGGAACAAGCCAGCCAAACCTCCACCAGCCGGAAGGAGGCTCTGACAGATGCCAGGAGCCCACCACCCTCTGCCAGAAACGCTTCTGTCTTTTGCATCATTTTATCAACGCCTGGCACACCACTTCCCGTGCGCTGAAAGAAATGTGTTGAGTTAAAGAATCGTCATCCAGAAGAGGGCACCTCCAGAGAGCTCCTGAAACACCAGAGAGCTTTAGCTTAGCTACCCAAAGCAGATGTCCCTGTCTTTGGTGTCAAACCCTAAGGACCAGAAGTAGCCTCACAAGTCCTTTCATCAACCCAACTCCTAAGCAAGGAATCCCCCAACTACAATGATCTTATGGTGGATGAGCCCCCCTGAGGTAGCTCAGGAGGCCCCCATTTCCTTGCTAGACTGTCTAGAGGAAGAAACACTGTTCCACACCTCGCTTACTGTTAGCCCAACTGAAAGAGCAGTTGACGTGACCTCTGATTCCGATGTGCTTCTCCCAGTGGGGACCAGGCAAGGTGCAGGGGTGCGGTACCCTTCACACACTTGTGAGAAAAGACAACAGAAGCCAGGTCCTCAAGAGCTGCCAAGGCAGAAGTCAAGTGACACAGTCCAAACCGAGGAACCCATCGAGAAGTGAAACCAGAATCAGAAGTTATGGAGGGAACAGGGCGAAAGCAAGGGAGCCTGAGGAGCCAGGGGAGCCAAGGAGAAGCGGAGGAGACGGGAAGAGTCTAAAGGGTCCTAGAGTGGAAGGCAGAGGTGTTCCTAGAACCTCTGAGTAAGGGTGGATGGACATTCTTTAGAGAGGCCTGAGCAGGGGGCCAGTGCAAGGCTCTGAGTGGGGCTGGCAGCCTGAAGATGGTCAAAGATACTCACTGTTTGCCCTGGAGGCAGCCCAGTACCCAGCACAGCCCTTGGGCCACTGCCAGTCGGCATCAGTTAACACGGAAGCACACAAGTGCTCAATGGTCTGCAGGGAGCAAGAGTGGAAGCAGGGAGACTACCTTGGAGGTTCCTGTGGTGGTCAGGAGAAAGCTGAGAGACAGTGTCCTAGGAGGAGAAACGGAGAGCAGATGCTTCCGATGGTTCAGAGGTAGAGTCAACTAGACTTTCCCTTGATTGGTTGTGGAGGCAAAAGAGGATGCAGGGGCGACACCTAAATTTGAGGCTGAGCCATTTATGGAGAAGAGTGAGAGTGAGACTAGAGGCAGGAGAAGCCTGCACTGGAAGAAATGGGATGCTTTTGTTCACTTTGTTTTTTACCTTTCGTTTAGTTTTGATTTGTACATGCTAGGTTTGAGATGCAAGCTCTGGTGGCATAGTGCCTAAGGCCTTGACTGCTAATCAGAAGGCTGGCAGTTCAAACCCACCAGCCACTCCTCAGAAGGAAGGTTGGGCAATCTACTTCTGCAGTGATACCGCCTCGGAAACCCAAGGAGGGGTGGCTATGAGTCGGATCCGACTCAATGGCAGTGAGTTTGGTTTTTTTGTTTTAAGTTTGAGACACTTAGTGGACATCAATTGGACATGTCAAGGTCTGAGACTCAGAGAAACCAGAGCTGGCTGAGTACACTTGAAGGGATGGTACTTAAAACTGAAGTCACCTAGGAAACCAACTGCAGAACTAAAAAGGAGTGGTTCCAGGACCATGCATGGGAGCACTCCAACACACAGAGGTCTGTTGTTGTTGCTGTTGTTTGCCATCGAGTCGGCCCCGACTCATAGCGACCCCTCCTTGGGTTTCTGAGGCAGTATCACTACGGAAGTAGATTGCCCAACCTTCCTTCCGAGGAGTGGCTGGTGGGTTTGAACCGCCAGCCTTCTGGTGAGCAGTCAAGTGCCTTAGGCACTATGCTACCAGAGCTCCCACACAGAGGTCCAGCAGAGGAAAAGTCGCAGAAGGACGCAGAGGAGGAGAGGCTGCTGAGGTGAAGGACAGCCAGGCATCACAAAGGCCAAGAGGAGAATGCGTTTCAGGGACAGAGAGGCACGTAAGAAACTAGCTAGCAGCTAGTTACTAGTTAACTTGAGGGGAACGGAAGGGGAAGAAGGGAAGAGGATTTAGTTTTCACCATGAGCCCTTTGTACCTTTCCAGTGTTGGACCAGGTACACCTATTACCTATTTGAAATATAAATGAAGTAACTGACAAGGAGAAGGAAGAAAGCTAGCACTGTCAGCAGACATGAATCACTTCAGTTGCGATCCTGAACCACGCTGGGCCCGGGTTGGCAGACTCAACAGAATCTTTTCTTGTTCTGTGATCATCTGCCTCTTTGTCTTTCTCACCGGTGTCTTCATTATTTTACTTGGTTTTACTTCCTTTCAAACCTTGGACCTCGGAAGAGGAGACACTGAAGGAAAACCTGTGCCCCAGATATTTGGGAGAACTTTCCTGTCATGAGCCATCTGGGTGCTACATGGTACCCACAACCAAAAGGCTAGCTTCTTGGGGCAGACTGGCAGCTGGGCACCTTGGAAGAAAAGGCAAGGAGATGGATGGCAAGGAGATGGGGGCAAGACAGAGTGACTGAGAGGGAAAAGGGGACAAGGACAGGAGGAGAAAATTAAATCCACGTTGGACACCATGAGTTTGAGAAGGTGGCAGATGGGCAACAAAAATGTGCCACGTCCTCACTGGGTGTCAGGGCCTCCACTGGGTGCTAGGAATACAGTGGGAATGACACAGATACAAGGTCTAGCAGAAGGGTGGGGCTAGAGCTCAGGGGAGTGGTCACTTCCCTTTTTACAGCCTGTCAAGGCTCCCTATCCCTCTCAGGATACAAGTTCCAACTTGTTAGCCCAGCACTGTAGTCCCTTCGTTGTCTGACTCTACCCACCTCTCCAGCCCCCTCACCTGCCCCAACATCTAAGGCACAGTGAACCATCTCAGTTCTCACGGCTAAGCTTCACCCAATGCTACCCCACCTCCCTTCCCTTCCTTCTCAGTATCAGACCTCACTGCCTAACAGTCTCCTACCACCACCTCCACCGCACTCCCAAGCTGAGGTAGCCATCTCTCCTCCTTCTCACTGACTGACCTCATTTATCTCTGTGTCTCTAGCACCCAACCCAAGGCCTGATACAGAGTGGGTGTTCAAGGACTAAGAGTTAAAGGGAGGCCTGAGCTCACCCCCCAGCTAAAGAGAGCCCTAGAAAGAACACCACCTTCTCATCTCTGGGACTATTCAGTTCCGACCCAAGGATTCTATGCTGGACCATGGAACAAGGAGGAACCATGTCAAGCTGGAACCCTGGAAGAAAGCTCTAGAAAACCCACCTACAGCCTTCAGTCCAGGAAACTGACAGGCCCTACAGAACTTTAGAATCCTTTGGGGCCCAGAAGGTAATCAAATTCTTAGGGGGATCCAGACAAGACCCTTGCCCTACTGACCTCCAGGATGGACCTACTGCCACTCATGGGCAAGGGTATGATTGTGCCCTCTGCTCTCTTAAGAAAGCACCACAGCCCTGAGAAGCTCTCCTGGCTAGGGTCCCAGCTTGCAGGACGAAGTCTCCCAGGTCCCACTCGCTATATCTAGATATGAATGGGCAGGTCTGGTCTGGTTCCTTTCTCTCTGCCCAGCTCCCTTGGCTGAATACTTTGAGTCATCCTTTAGGCTCTGGTCAACTTTTCTCTCAGCTATCTCTAGTTCCACATTGTCCCAGACTGTCAGCCATGACCAGCCCTTACCTCTCCCAGCCAGGGCTCAGTTTCCATAATTCCAGCCTGGACCCAGGCCCCAGGTTCCTCCTGCTTACCCGGAACAGAATTTTGGGTAACCAGAGCAGGACTTCAGAAGAATGTGTTCTGTCAGTTTTATGACGGTCAAGAACCAGAGCTGGGATAAGGGACAAGCTCCTTGGAATTTGGCCAAAGACCTAGGAAGACACTCCTCCTTACAGAAGACTCAGTTCTGATGTGAGTCAAGGCCCCAGAACCCCAGAGCCCTTCCAAGTAAGCACCCAACACGTTCTCATCCAGAGGGCTTCCAGGCCTTGGGAGAAAGTTCTCTTGTACATCAATCGCTCTCAGAAAAAACAAGCCCATCACTGAGGCCTTGCGATGCCCTAACAAATGCATGGCACCCACCTTGGGCAACAGCAGTGCCAGTACACTTGTCCCTGTGCAGTTCTCAGCCCATTCAAAAGTATTAACACCAATGCATGCTGGGCTCCAGCAGGTGGAGAGATGAGAGATGAGTCTGACACAGAGTCTCTGGCCTCAAGGAACTCAGCCTGGGGAGACATCCCCAAGTCAGCTCTCCACCTGCTTGGGAATTTCTGCCCCTCGGAATCCTCGGGACCTGACCTCCGTCAGTTTCTTGCTCTTCAGCTTCCTACTCCTCACACCCTCACTCTCTCGGGCTCAGGCCTTTGGTCTACTTGTGGCCCCACTCCATGCTGACAATGCCCAGCTCGCCACAGACTCTGCTCCAGGACAGGAGCTGGCAGCCAATACATTCCTTCACTACAAGGAGGAAGTCCAGCCTGCCCAACATTGGAAGTGGCAGGACAATATGTGGCAGTTCCTTCCCCTCCGAACCAGAATGGAGAAGCACCTGACCTCTGACCTTGCCCTTTGGACTTGATCACCTCTGCCCTAAGAAGTCAGTGCTGACACGAAAAGAGGCAAGGGGCAACAGGCAGGACAGACAGCAGCTGCCCCAGCCTCTAACAAGAACCGGCTTCTCTGCCTCTGAGACACCCTGGTAGTCCTCCAGGGGCTATTGGGAGCGATCTGGAATCATGACAGGACCGGAGTAGACTGTCCCAGATGGACGGAAGACTGGCCTACAGGCTGCCAGTCTTCAGAGCTTTCACCAATCACGGTGCAGAGCACAGCCACCCCGGGCTTGTGCAGCAGGACTTGGCTTGTCCCTGGCTGGCTTCTGACCCCTTTAGTTAACCCCTGAGCCTTCCCAGTGCCAAGCTCCTAGCTGATTCCAGCCTCTGGACTTTCCCTCCAGCTTACCTGGACCCACTGTGTCCTTTAGGACAGCCCCAAATGGACCCCTTCAGACTGCGGCCTCTGGGCCCACCCAGATGACCTGCTAACCTCTAATCCGTCCAGCCACGTGTGCTACCGCCTGCCCTGGCACAAGGCCAGCTGGCCAGAGAACCTCTGGGGGAACTCAGCAGGGGAAAGCAGCAGGTCTGGGCACTGCCTAGACCGCATCAACCCACCTTGACGGAGATGTGGCCGTGGGCCTGGGGAAGGTGAGCAGCCAAGAACCAGTCCCCAGGTAAGGGGCTGCTGACATTAAAGATGCCTGAGGTGCGGTTGGGCAGAGTCCAGCTGAGAGTCAGTGAGAAAACCCCAGGCACAGCTGTGTCCCCTGGGAAGTGTGTGTGCAGGGGATTGATGACAGGGGGTGCCCCGGACCGGAAATACCTGGGGAACCAGAATCAGGAGAGGAGGAAAACAGGTAGGGGGGGAGGCAGGAAATGGGGAAAAGAAAGGTGAACTGTCACTTATCACCGGTAACACAACTGGATGCCCCATAAGGACACACACACCAATGCGGTTCCAGGCCAGGGGTCAGGGGTCAAGGCATAAAGGGGCAAAGGCAGCCACACGCTCAGGAGCGGTCAGGAAGGTGGCCCGGGACAGAGGCGCCGGCCCTCACTCGGTTCTACCTCAGTCCGGGCCCAGGGCGCAGGCTCAGGAGCTCAGTTTGTACTTGGAAAGTCACACTTTCAGTTCAAAAGAGGGCTGGGGTTGGAAGCAGGGGTCGGGAGGTTAACTCCGACACTCACACAGTCACACTCTGGTCCGGGCAGTGGTCCCCAAAGGTGCCCCCCTGCTCCTTGAAGATGATGAGGTTCCAAACAGCCAGAAACGTGTCCTCAGGAACGTGGAAATGGAAGAGCTCGGTGCTGGCGAAGGAGCGGAAGGGGCTCAGCTTGCGGGGCGAGCAGGTGGAGTAGTCAGTCAGGAAGAGGCCTCCTGGGGAGCCGGAGAGAGAGGGGCGCAGGTGGGACACAGCACCTCCACTGTGTGCAGGCCCAGCCACGCCGACAGCACCGACTCCGCACACGCTCCCCTGCACCAGGAACACGGTCTGGGGCGACCCAGCCGTCGCCTGTCCTCGCAGATGAGGAAGCCGGGGCCAGAAGCTAAGATTCCAACGCGTCCAAATCCACACCCCGGCCTCTCCATCTGACCGCACAGCGACCCCTCATTTGGGAGCCTTTGTTTCTCTCTTACCAGATCTAACAGAGTGGAGAGGGTGGGTGGGTGTATGTGTGTGTCCGCGCTCACACACGTGTCCTGCCACAGCCCCTACACCTGCAAGTAGCTAGAGGGCCACCTGTGGGCCTGGGGGTCCCCATGGGACTGTGTAACTGGCTATTTATTTTCTTCCCCTTTCTGATCCCCTGGGGTTAGGAGCAGTGCAAACCCTCAGCAGTTTCACAGAGTCACCTGTGTCCTGGCTCAGGGCAGACAGAAGGGCAAAATGTGGTGAGGCTGCAAGGGGCCTGCGTGGGTGGCAGAGGCAGGGACAGGAGCTGCCAGGCCACCAGGAGAGCCCCCAGGACAGAGAAAAGGAGAAACACAGGCCCTCCGTGACTCAAAACAAGCAGCCAGTGGTGTTTCCCAGGGGGGAGTCTAGTGAGGCAGTCAACCTCCCCTGTCGTATCCAGGCAGGGGTGAGGATGGGGGACAGGAAGTGCTCATCTCCAGCTCACATGCTGACGTACCTGGTCACAGTCATCAGGAGCAGAACCCAGAGAACAGGAAAGCCTGGTGTCAGTGGCTGGTCAGGCAGACACACTGGGCTGGGACAACTGAGTGCAAATAACCCAACAGCTCAGCTGGGGAGGGGAAGGGGGCCTCAAGTGGCAGGTGAGGCCCCTTGCAGTAAAGCACCAGGGTCTAACTGCTCAGAGAAGCCCAGGAGGGTGCCCCAAGACTGGTGAGAATGAGAACTCAAGCAGCTTCAGGACAGAGTAGGGACAGAGTCAAAAGCTCACTGCCACTGAGACCCCTCCTTGGGTTTCCCAGGCGGCATCTCTCTGGAAGTAGATTGCCCAACCTTCCTTGTGAGGAGTGGCTGGTGGATTTGAACAGGCAGCCTTCTGGTTAGCAGTCAAGAGCCTTAGGCACTAGGCCACCAGAGCTCCTAGGGACAAAGTTGTTGTTGTTGTTGTTGTTGTTGTTGTTGTTGTTGTTGTGCCGTCGAGTCGGCCCCAACTCATAGGGACAAAGTAGTTTAGAGGGATCCCTGGGAAGGGAGTTTTCAGCCAAGCAGGAAACACCCACAGGGCTTACCTAGTCTGACAATCCCCCACGCTGGCGGTGAGAAACTTTACCCCAAAAATGAGGATTTGAAGTAACAGAGAGAGGGGCATCTGGGAAAGGAGGCTGCCGAAGGAAGGAGTGCTGGTTAAGGCTGGCCCTACTGAGGGAGCAGGCGTCAGAAGCCTCCCAGGAGAACCACCCTACACAGGTGGAGGGGGCTGGCCCTGGATTTGCCTGTACTTCTTTTCAAAGGACAGTTACACCCAAGGTCAAGTGTGTCCAGTTCAGATCATATAATCAGCCTGAGAGGTCGGTAAGGAAGACCCGCCATCTCGCAGGTTGAGCATGGCCCAGACACCCAAAGAGGCTCACTGGCTGGGGGCTCAGAGAGCAGCAGGCAGAAAGCGGTGGAGATGTCTGTGAGGACAAAGGGGAACAGAGCCAACCATTTGGAAGACAGGTGGCCTGGGAGTTCCAGCTGAGACAACCAGGAGGCAGAAGGCCCAGAGCTCCCACCGTTCTAAGAAATCAGGGCTCTAGAGCACCCTCTGCTGGGGTCAGGGAAGAACCGCGGATCCTTGAAGCTAGAACCAGGGTTCAGACAACTCACAGGCCATTGCTACCGTTATGAAAAAAAAGACGTGGGCCAGGGCCCAAATGCAGACACTCAGAGAGCTGGTGGTAAAACATGGGTGGTGGCGGTAGTGGTTGTGGTTATTCTTGTTCTTGTTGTTATGTGCTGTTGAGTCAGATCCAACTCATAGCGACCCCTCCTTGGGTTTCCAAGGCGGTATCACCATGGAAGAGATTGCTCAACCTTCCGTCCGAGGAGTGGCTGGTGGGTTTGAACCACCAGCCTTCTGGTTAGCAGTCAAGTGCCTTAGGCACTATGCTACCAGAGCTCCCAAAACATGGGTAGACAAGCAAAAAGAGCCTTGTGACTTACAGGAACAGGGAATGACTTAGAAAATTGGGGAACTAACTAAGCCAAAAGAGATCACAGAATAGACCGGTAGAAAGGAGTGAGCAGCTCCTGGAGATGCTGGGAGGAGCCCAGAAGAAGTTCTCATGGTGTCTATCACTCCAAGCTTTGGTTCAGCGATTTAACAAGGCCCACCAGAGCCATGTACCAGAGGAAGTATGAGCAAAGTCCTACTCCAAATCTGATGAACCCGCCTGGCTGCCGTAGTAGTTCCAGAATGGAGCCAGGTGATTACCCACCACCCAAAACACAAAACGCACACACACACACAGGCTGAGGCAAGTCCTAGTAATGACAACACTGGAATAAAAAACCAGTTGCCAACAAGTCGATTCTGACTCACAGCGACTCTGTGCGTGTCAGGAGAACTGTGTTACACGGTTTTCATGCTCGTGAACTTTCAGAAGCAAGGTTGTCAGGCCTGTCTCCCAAGGTGCTCCTGGGTGGGTTTGAACGTCCCACCTTCCAGTTAACAGCCAGTTAGTAAAGGACTTAACATTTACACCACCCAGGGACTTCAATGGTGGCACTGGTGGAACAAAAGGTCATTTCCTGAAATGGCAAGGTATGCAGTCGGCTAAGCCATGGAGAAGACCCAAGGATCAAGGGTGAGACCAGGAAACCCAGGAGGTAACTTCCATTTGTGAGATGAAGCCAACAATGGCATTGATTGAGACCAGGACACTGCTAGCCTCTCTTCAGGCAAACCCATGCCCACCGGCTGGTCACAGAGCACCTCCAGGCCAGCCCACAGCTGCCAGGCAGTGACCTGGGCATCATGAAGAGCATCCCTGCTTGCAGCTGGGCCTACTTAGCGCTCCTGTCCAACTCCACTGCAACTCTCACCACAGCAACCAAACCTCTTCCAGGGAATCACATTTCTCTCAACATCCTTCAGCTCTGTACGACTCTACTACCGACACTCACCCTCCTCCTGTTGCCAACCCAGTGCTTGCTCAATAAGCCCATGAACAAAGAACAATGGTGGCAGGGATGGAGCTATGCACTGGGCTCACCGGCTCAGACACCCCTCACCAGAACCGACCTGGCTATTGCCTCTGCCGAGTGTCCAAGTTTTCAGCAGCAGCTGTCAACGCCGAGCCCCTGATGGAGAGTGGCTGGGGCCGAGGGATCAGATATGTTGTGGGAAGCATCCAACACTGCCTCCAACCAAGGAACTGTCACTTCTGAAGGTGACACTTCAGTAACCTGTCTGCGTGAGGTGCAGGAAAAGCTAGGGTCACAACACATATCCTCCCCCTCAAAGGGGGAGCAAAGGCACTCAGAGGACACATAGACTCACATGCACCCATACAACACACGTGTGCATACACTTCCCAACGTGAAAGCATGCACATGTGTTGCACACACCAAGATCCCTCCATCACACACACACACACAGCGCTCAAACATGTAAATATACACACATCTGCTGGGACCATGACCTGTGCATTGACCTCCTCAAGCCTGTACACTGAGCCACGCCCTCCAGCCGCTGTGTTAGTCGTTACTCCAAAGACTCCCCGAGAACGTCTCTATCCCCCCACCGGAGGGTCTGAGGTCTGAGGCCATGAAGACCATGGTCACCTCTTGATGCTAGGGCCATCTCCATGGCACAGCCCCTAGGCCAGGACCTCACTCTCCCCTACATTGCTCCTATTAAGCTGCACCTCTCCTTGTCCTATCCCAGTCACTCCTCCAAGCCTGGTGTCCCCCACTGACAGCTGGCAAATGAAGAACAGTGTGTGGATGAAGCCCCCTTGTGGGCAGACGGCGTAAAGAGGTATTGAGCTTGGAGCCTTTCCCCCACTTGAGGCTGCCTTTTCGGCATACACTGCGGTGAAAAACAGCCACTAGTGAGGGGAAAGGACTAGGAAGCCGTTTTCCAGCCCCAGCACTGCCACCTACAAGCTGTGTAACCTTGAGCAAATGGCTCCCTTATTAAGCCTTCCTTTCCCCCATGGGCAAAATGGCCTCTGAGTTTCCATCCAGCTCTAAAAGCATTGCAAATTATTTCCAGGCAACCCAAGCTTATTTGGAATAAGACTCATTACAAGAAGAAAACGGGTCATAACAGCGACTAACCCACGTTAGTCTGTTTGCTACATATGACATTTAAAATTGACTCCCGGTATTCCAAAGACCTGGCTCTGTCTCCACACACTGGACTGGAGCCTGCCTAGCGTGAGAGCACGTCTCTCCATCAAACTTTGAGGGCAGGGGCAAAGCCGTGGAGACTTCCGGGAAAGCAAGTGTCAAGGTAGGGTGGGGACAGAGGCTAGGAGAGCACGCAGAGAGGCTACCTGCTGCACCCCAAGGTCCACGGTGACCACCACTTCCCAGCTCCTCTCGGTTGTTGAAGACCTCTCTCCTCCCTACCTCCTCTCCCCCAAAGCCCCAGCTCCCCAGACCACCACCCTTCTCGCAGAGCCCCATCCCTGCCTCAATCTGTCCTGCTTCTTCACTCACCAGCCCCTGGGCCAAGGACCCAGAACCACAGCAGCAACCACAGGACTGGCGGCGGCTGGAGCCCAGACCTGAGTCGGGGCTGGGAGAGGGGCAGGGTGTGAGAGAGAAGGGGGGGTAGCGGGAGAGACTTGGGTAAACACAGGGATGAGGGCAAAGGCTGAGACAATGGGTTGGGCTGGGCTGGGCATCGGGGCTCGAACCGGCAGAGGGCATGGGTTGAAAGCCTGGGCCCAGACGAGGGCTGGAGCAAGCGCAAGGGTTGAGCCAGGGACTTGGGCAAATACTGGGAACCGGGTTGTGATAGGAGCCGGACTCGAACTCGCGAAATGGGATGGAGCAAGGGCAGAGGCGGGGACGGGGACCAGGCCAGGGGCAGGCGCTGGGACTCCAGGGGGCGCCGGGGCTGGGACCCGGAAGGAAGCCAGGGGGCGGGCTGGGACCCCGAGCCTGGCGGTAGCTGGGACTCGGGCCGACACGGGGACCGATTTGGGGATCGGGGCGGGGGCGGGACCCGAGGCCCCGATCCGGATAGGACGAGGGGCCGGGACAAGGGCCGGACCATGGCCCCGGGCAGGGGCGGGGCCGCAGGGGCCCGAGCGGGGCGCTCGCAGAGCTGACCCGGGCTCGGCTCCCCACCCACGGCGGTAACCTCCGGCGTCCTCGCGGGCCAGAGGCCGGGCTCGGGCCTCCTGGGACCAGGCCAGGGACCTGGGGGGGAGTTCAGGCCTGAGCGACTCCGGGCTGCGCTGGACCGGCGAGAACCAGGCCCCGCGGCGGCGGCCTCGGCGTGACGTCAGCGTGACGCTCCGCCCCTCGACCAGTTCGATTGGTCCTTCTCGGTAAAACCCGCCCGCCGCCCTATCCTATTGGTTTCTAACTTGGTCCTGCGGGACTCCGAGCACAGACTCCGCCCAGCCCGGCTTCCAAAGACTCTGCGGGTCTCACCCGGATCTCAGCGCCCGGAGGTCCCGTCCGAGCCTCGCAACCCCCACTGGCCTCCCCACAGATAACTCATGGAGCCCCATAGGGACCTTCATGAACCCAGACACCCCGAGGACCTCCTCCCAAATCTTCGCAGATCTTACCCAGAGATGCCGCAGAACCCCCTTTCTCAGAAGTGAACTCTGGGTTCGTCCTCTCCGGGCCCAACGCAGTCCCCTCAGGAGACCTCACCCACCATGGAAGTGACCAGGCTGCTGTTGCCATGGAGACAACTGGGCGTTCTGGTTGCCCTGGCGACGGATCCCACCTCTCCAGGCTTGAGTTCCGGAGACCTCAGTCAGTCCCCGCCCTCCCCGGCCCCGGACCCCCTGCCCCCATCCCTTCCCTCCGCTTCCTCCATCACTTCCCTCCCCTTCCCTCCCCTTCCCTCCCCTTCCCTCCCCTTCCCTCCCCTTCCCCACCCTGATCCAGATCTAGGCGGAGCTCCTTAGCCAAGGGGCCCTCCCGGAGTGGTAGACTTGCAGGTGAGGCCTCCGCTACTCGGCGCCTGCAGCCCGGGCTCCGCCACACCGGGAGCCTTCCCCTTCTCAGGCCAACACTTCCTTACCCCTCCCATCCTCAGACGAACTCCTGACCCAAGGACTTGTACCAGCCAAGCCAAAGCCCAGAGGTAGGTGGCCCTCCAACAGCCTCTCCCCAAAATCTTATCCTGTTCCCCCCAACACCTTCTGAACCTTCCTGCCCACTGGCCAGCCTAACCCTCTCATTTTCTACTTTCCAACCTCAGCCTGCCCTTCCCCAGGGCTCGGCCTGGCTCCTCTCCTCCCCTCTCCTGGCTCTCCACCCTCAGACCCTCAGATTTCGGTTTTCTCTTCCTCCCGGTCATCACCTCTCTTCTCCTTCCCTCCCCACATTCCTCTTTTGAAAAGGCTCTGGTGAGGGTCAGAAATGACCCCAGATCTCTGAAGCGGTGGGGGAACTGGGGAGTGAGGAGGGTTGAGGCTAGAATCCTCAGGCCGAGCTGCAAACGGTGACAGGCCTGGAACAGCAGGCCCCGATATTCGCACTTAATGATTCGGTAACAAACACTGAACTTGTTCAAGCCGGGAAGTGCCAGAGTGAAGCTTGCATTTTTAAAAAGACCTCAGTTGGGTCGGTGAGGAGGTTGCCCTCCTCTGGACATCCTTCCCGGGTGAGTTAGGCACGCCCCTCCCCACGGAGTACCCCAGCTCGTGAGCATTGACATCGCTGGCTCATCTGCCTCTCCCAGACGTTCAGCTGAGTCCAGTGCTTAGCACAGTGCCTGACAGAAAGTGGAGGCCACATGAATGAAGGGACCAAGGCGTTCATATGCTGGGGGTCGAGGGTGTTTCGCCGTTCAGGCAGATGTTGACTACTTAAAGTTGGACACAAGGGAGAGGATGGCATGGATGTGGGAATATTTCAAAGACAGGAAGGACAGTTCTTGGTGCCTATTTGAAGATGAGGGTTAAAGAAAAAGGAAACTGAGATAATTCCAAGGGTTCGGTTTTAATGTCCTCTGGGACATCCAGTTAGAAATGTCCAACAGACAGCTGGACATGAGCATAAAATCTGAAGAGGTCTGGCCTGGAGACTCGGACTTAGGAGTCATTAATGTTCTGCTGGACATAGTTGAAGCCCTGAACGTGAATGACATCACCAGGCGAGGGGATGTGTGTGGTCCTTAGACAGAAACAGATTGTGGGCAGGGCCCTGGCACATGCGTCTTGGCATCCTCCTGCACTGTCTGGAGCCAACACCCACTTCACCTTGGTACTCCCAGTACGTGGAGCTCCACAACCTAACCCCTAAGGTCCTGAGATACGGACTGGCCAGGTTGCCATGTTCAGACTCTCCCCTGGTCTTCTGCTACCATCCGCTGATGGCATTCTGACTGCTTCAGCCAGCTCTAAGTTCCACCTCTCTTACAAACCATAGCAACGTGCCACATGGAGTCTGGCACGTGAGTGACCCTCCTGGAATTATATATACTCTGAGACCCAGAGTTTATTTTGCGTCCCTCTTACAGCTCAGGTACAATGAGCAGTTTATCCTAATTCCCTAACCCACCATGAGCCCTGGCCACTGTGGCAGACCCTCCAATTCCAGCCTAATGAAGTCTGTACCCTATTCTGCCACTAGATGGAAGCAGACAAGGTTAGAGAAGCGCCTCAAACCACCAAGGATGACCTCGAGGAGCACCCCTCTTCAAAGGACCCATCTGCCGAGAACTTGCAAGAGCACCGTATCTCTGCAGCTCCCTTGGAGTTTTCCATCTCTGAGACCCCTTTAGGAGCCCGTACCTCCGAGTCCCCTCTGAAGCCATCTACTTCCGGGACCCCTTTAGAGACCCACACCTCCAAGACCCTTCGGGAATCGTCCATCTCTAAGACTCCTTTAGAGCTCCATACCTCTGGATCCTCTGTGGTACCATCCACTTCAGAGACCCCGTTAAAGGCCCACAGCGTTACAGCCTCTGTAAAACACTCCATCTCTGAGAGCCCACCAAAGACCAGTGTTTCTGAGGCCTCCGTGGAGTTTCACAGCTCCAAGAGCCCAGAGAAGCACCTTTCTTTTCAACTCTCATCAGAGGGCCCTGTCTCTGTGTCTTCCCCTGAAGATGATGCCCTGAAGGAAGGCCTCTACTCCAAGTCTTCCTACAGTGAGGTCCCAAGGGCAAGGAAGTCCACTCTGGAGGCCCCTACACTCGAGGCCCTTAAAAAGCACTCCCTTTCAGGTCATTCAGAGCAGGTCCAGAAGGACACATCTGCAGGGCAGGAGGGAGAGGCGGAAGAGGACAAGGAAGGGGAGGGTGCCCGCGACAGCACCGCCCACACACCCCAGCCTAGCTGCCAGCTGAGCAAGAAGGGCAAGAAGGCAGATAAACGTAATTGCTCCCGCCCCGTCCTTGCCCTTGCCCTTCTCTTGCCCTAGAAGGAGGGCTATTCTTTAACGTGGCCCCTTCCCTTAGTTCTAGGGCCTCTTCACTCCCCCCCGATTACTCAGTCCCTTCCTCCCCAGGTTACCCAGTCTACCCAGTAGTCCCCGCTAAGCAGGCAGAGCTGGCGGAAGTGGCTAATGCAAAGCACAGACAGCCGCCCGGTGCTCAGGTGTGTCATCTTTTCCAATGGGAGAAGCATGCAGCCCTGAGTGCCATCCAGACAGGTGAGTCCAGGCAGCTCTAGAGGCCTGTGACAGGCCAGTGGCCATCCTCCAACCCAACTGAATTTGAGAACCTCGCCATTCGATGGATCGCTGCCCCTTGTAGAAACAGCGGTGCCATTGACGCAGAGTGCCAGAGGGACGTAGGCAAAAAGTAGAAACCCCAGGTAGAGCCAGATGCGGGGCCCAAAGCTGTTAGAAACAGAAGATCTCGCCAGCTTCAGCTCTAGGATCCCCACAGCCTGTATGACAAAGACCCTAAGGCAGAGGTGGCCCGGGGGCCCTGCACAGTCTCTGGGAGGCTTGTTGCCCTGACATGGCAGAAGAGCATGGCCCCGTGGTGGACTCCACTCGTGCACGCCAGCCCACGATCCCTGGTACTCAGAAGCTTTAGGTCTCGTCCCCAGAAGGGGCGCCATGTCTTCTAGCCCTGTTGATGCGTGTCTCAGCCCAGGATGAATATTCCTGACTGTGTGCCTGTGTGTAAAAGGTGTACAGCTGACCTGTGTGAACACATGCCATCCTGTCTGTGGTCATGTGTACCTGTGATACCAGACTTCTTGTCTGTAGGGATCACCTGTAGAACAAGAGGCCCATCCTGACCTGCTGGGAGGATACCGGGGTTTCTACCCTGAATTCAGTAGATGTCACTGCATGCAGGCTAGGCTTTCACACTTCCCTTCCCCTGTGGTGAGACAGCTAGAGGGGCCTAAGCTATGGGAACGAGTTCATGATACCCTCACCCTCCTCCTTCCATACAGCCACCCTCCCTCCTCCATCCCAGGGCAAGGAAGTCCTGGTGACCACTTTTGTTTCTCATTCTCAAGCATTGAGGTGACTTCATTTGCTTATTTGAGCATCTTCTGTCACTCTTACTGTCTTGCAAATGCAGGGCCTGTTCAGTTCTCTCCTTCTCTGAACTTCCTGTCCCCTCCTCACTCTTGAAGGCCTCTGCATTCCTCATGCTTCTGAATGAGGTTCTTGTTTGCCTGTTGAAACAGGTCTTTTTTTTTTTTTTTTTTTTACAGAAATTCAAGTGCTGTTCAATCCTGAACAAAGATATTTGGGGTTCCCTTCTGAAGCTGAGGATCTTGAGTCCCTGGACAGTGGGGACCCCATAACAGCATGTGTGACGTGTAGAGAGAGATCAAGTATAAAAAGATATGCTTTAATTCTTTCAAAACACATTGAGCACCAACTATGTGTGATGTGCAGTGTGGAAAAAAAACTGTTTATAAGATTTTTTTTAATCGTTTTAACAAACATTAAGTAAAACTATGTGTCAAGCATTACGCTAGCTGTGCAAGTAGCAGTTGGGGTTTGAAAAGCAAACTCCCTCAGTGCTGTACATTCTAATCAGAGCAACGATAATGAAAAGAACAATGACAACTTATTCTAATCATTCGCCCTTATGATTGAGATCGGCCAGAGTGCCACACAAGCAGAGAAAGGGGCACCCAAGCCTTCAGGAATAAGCTTTGGAAGAGGTGACTTCCAGCGGAAATCTGTAAGATGAGCACTCAGGAGATGGCCAGGTGAAGAGTGGGTGAGGTGACAGAGATCAGGGCAAGGCACCAGGAGGCCAGGGAGAGCAAGACCATGGGCCGACCACACAGTGCGGGGGGCTGGTGGGCAGCTCAGCTCCGGAAGGACAGCATGGTGCAGCATTTCTGGGCCCAGCTAAAAGTTGAGTGTGTATCCTGAGGGTAACGGGGGTCACTAAAGGATTTTAACTAGGACAATAAGATGAACACATTGGTTATTGTTACGTGCCGTGGAGTCGGACGTAACTCATAGTGACCCCTCCTTGGGTTTCCGAGGCAGTATCACTGCAGAAGTAGATTGCCCAACCTTCCTTCCAAGGAGTGGCTGGTGGATTTGAACCACCAGCCTTCTGGTTAGTAGTCAAGTGCCCTAGGCACTAAGCTACCAAAGCTCCTGAATACATTGGTGCTACTGAAAGATCACTTTGGCAGTCGGACAGACTGGAGAAAGACAAGACGAGAGAAGGAAGGGTTATATCCTGAGACACCTGTAATGATCCCGGTAGGAAGTGATGGGTGGAGGTGGAGAGGAGTAGACGATTTCAAGGAATGCTGGGAAGGTGGTACATAGGAGGAGAGAGAGGAAGCCGTCTACGATGATACCTAGGTTTCTGGCTTCAGTACCTCAATGACAGTGCCATTAACTGCCTAAAACAGAGCAGGTGTCTGATAAGGATTCGTTGGATGAATAGAGGACAAAGAACAAGGACCAGGGTTGAAGGGATAACACAGTTGAAGTGCCTGTGCAGTGCAGTGTGCTGTGGGATAAGTCCAACAGGCAGCTAGCTGGCCTTAGGGACTGGAAGCTCGGGAGAGAGGTCTGGGCTAGACCCATCATGTACATTCTAAGAGCAAAGAGTAAGCACGGGCTTGTCATATGGACTGTGTTCTACAGAGTCCAAATGGTGGCCCAGATACTATGTGCTTCCCCTGCCAGACCTCATCTCCTCGTAACAGGGAGGGGTATGAAGTCAAGGCAGAGAGCTGAGGGCACCAGTTGGAATCACTGGGCCAACTGTCCCCTTGTGAGGTATTGTCCACCTTTAACAGAGTCTGAGGAGTAGTTGCCTTGCTCTGTATGCAAACTCCAGTCTTCATCCAAATGCCGTTCCACATCGGTGCTTGGACTTGACTCCCCTAGACCTTCAGACCAGGCCTTGAGTTGTAAGCTCTGAGTCTTGTTCACCTCCAGACCTCACCTGCTCATCCAGCATGTCCTGCTACTCTGGACAGAGAGCAGAATTCCTCTAGTGGAATCCAGGCCCCGCCCACCTCCATTGTGACCTTGCTGTACCCTCTTAACCCAGTCTCTGGTATAATGGGGTCCTGGCACTATGGGCCATCAGTATAGACGAACAGCATATTCAAAAGCCACGTCTGGACAGACCTTAGATCCTGAGAGACTATGGGTAAGGCAAGAAAATGTAGTCTGCCAGTTAGGCACAGCATTGTGGATTGTGGCCCTGGCCAGAGTCAAAGACCAGAGGAAACTATCTCTCTCATCCTCCTTAATGGAACTTCAGGAGTATCCCTCCAAAGATGCCTAGAATACGGGTATCTCTTCCCTCCTAAAGGAATCGCTTCTGCTCGTTCGTTAGTTCAGTCAGGCAGTCTTCCTCCCCTGAGCGTCTCTATTGTGTGCCAGACCCTGTGCTAGAAAGGGTGCTCTGGTAGCGTAGTGGATAAGGCATTTGGCTGCTAACCAGAAGGCCAGCAGTTCAAATCCACCAGCTGCTCCATAGAAGGAAGATGGGGCAATCCACTTCAGTAGAGATTTACAGCCTGGGAAATCCAATGGGGGTCACTATGAGTCAGAATTGACTCGATGGCAATGAGTTTGGTTTTTTAGTTTTCTGTGCTAGATGGGGCTAGAGACAGAGATAAGATAGAACCTCCCTTTGAGGAACTCACAGATGAATGGGAACACAGGTGAGCAGATCATTAGACTAATTGTACTATGGTAGGAATAGCATGAGACTAGGGAGCTCTGGTAGCATAGTGGCTAAGTCACTTGCCTGCTAACCAGAAGGCTGACAGTTCAAACCCACCAGCCACTCCTCAGAAGGAAGGTTGGGTAATCCTACTTCCGTAGTGATACTGCCTCGGAAACCCAAGGAGGGGTCGCTATGAGTCGGGGCCAACTCGACGGCACATAACAACAACAACAACAACAACGGCAAGCAAGGGGAAGAGGTCTAGACAGGAAGTCAGGGACAGTCTTCTAGAGGAGGTGACACTTGAGTTTTAAGTGGGAATAGGAGTCGTCCTACAGCTGGTGGTATCACTCCATGGGGACTCATACAGGATTCCTGGCTAGAAGTTGGGGTGCTCTCAGCTCTCCTGGAGGATGAGAAAATCTTCCTCCCAGATTTATGCAGCATGACCTTTGCTTGTGGTGCCGTGAAGCCAGGCAGGCAGATCCTACTGTGAAACAGCTCAAGGGTTTGACTTCTTGTGGTGCCGGCTCTCAGGGATTCTTCTTGTCCTTGCCTGCCTTTCCCTGCCCCCTTTCTCAGCCTCGTGGGCTTATATGTTTGGTTTTCACTACCCATGACTTCTGGCCTACCTCTGTTTCCCTCAGAGAACCACAGGCAGCCCTTCTCAAGTTCACAGAGGGTAGTATTTCAGTATACCAGGAACAGAGAAGGGAAGTGTGAAGGTGTCAGCCTGCAGACATCACCCTCCTACCTCCTGGCACCAGGGCTATCCAGCCTTCTCCTCCTCAAGTCCCTTCAATAACCATGCTTCTCAGGAGCCAACCTATCACCTCCACACAGGGCCAATCATCTCTCCTTTTTCTCACCTTAGACAGTCCGAGGAAACAAAGCAAATTTAGTCTCTACTGTGGGGAGGGGAGGAGATGAGACCCCACACACATGAACGCGCACACACACACACAGTCAGAGAACTCAAGTGAGATTCTTATTGATCGTCAAACGAATTTCATTTATAATCTTCCAGCAGTGAAGTTGAAGACTTGCTTCAGCCTTTGACAGGCTGAGAGATGGAGCGGACCCTGGGGTGGGAAGGGAACTGAAGACACTTGTGGGGCGATGAGAAAACCTTGAGGAAAAAAGTCCAAAGCGGTAGAGGTGAGGACTCCCGGGTGGAGTATACCTGGGGCGGAGAGGTGACCCTCCCCAAGGGGACAGGTGAGGACACTTTAGGGGCGCTTGGCATATTACTCTCCCTCACATTAATCACTCAGCCCTCCACACTCAGGTCTCTACATTGGCTGGCGCTGCCCCCATTACCTATGGGACTGTTTCCAGATCGGGGAGGAGTCCAAGTGCTTTTGTGGACACTTACTGAAGGAGCACCAGATCATCTCAGGTCCAGGAGCACTGCCTGCCCCGCCGGGGATGGACGGGTGCCTGTCCTCTGCGGTGTCGGGATGTGCGAGAGCGTGCGTGCGTGTCGGTGTGGGGGAAGGAGCTGGCGTGGGGAGGCTGGAGGGCCGGCTGCCGGGCCAGCGCCACCACTCGCCTGCGTGCCCACAGACATCTCCGTGCCTTGTGCTGTAAGCCAGTGCCGCTGCCTCATGTTCTGCTTCATCCCGTCACGGCCAGAGGAGGTGGACGAGTTCTGGGTCACGAGACGGGCCACCTACGACCCCAAGGCCTGGAGGGCCCAGTGCCGCTGCAAGCACAACCACGAAGATCACAGAGCCACTGGGTCCCACCCCTGCAGACGCTACGGTACCTTCTGGGGCGAAGGGAGTAAAACGGGGGCATGGGCAGGGGTCGGAATGCAGGCGGTGTGAGGACGGGAGGCTGCTTGGAGAGGGGGGCTTGTGGCTGGTGCAGGGCGAGGAGAACGTGGCCAGCCCAGGAGGAAGTGCCCGCTCCCTGTATTCTTCTCGGACGTCCTTTGGTCCCAGGCTGTTGCTGCAACTGCTTTGAGTCTAACTTCCTCTGTGCGGCCTGTGACCGGCGCTGGGAGGAGCACGAGACTTTCTTTGAGACTGAGGAGACCCGGCGGCGAGGAAGGAGGCCTCACGGTGAGGGGCAACCCGGGCCCGGGGACCATGCCAGGGTCTGTAGTCAGAAGGCCAGACAAGACGGCACTGTCACCCCCATCACACACACCCATCCCTGTAGCCCACGTCTGCACTGGTTTCCACCCCCAAGAGCAGACTTGGTGCCCTTGGCAGAGATGCCCGCCCTTTGAGAAGCCATCCTCCACAACCCTGCCTTCAGACCCTAGAGATGCGGCGGCCCTCTGGCCATCCCAGCTCCCACCCCAGGCCCCCTGGGCCCCCTGGCCCACAAAGCCCTCAGTGTGGCCCCATACCTAACCCTTTCACCTCTGCTCTTCCCTCCTCCAGGGGCAGATAATGTCTCCACCTGCCGCAGGCATTTGTGAGCCCGGTCCAGGGCAGCAATAAAGAGGAAGCCACTGGGATCTGGCCTGGCTCTGTAGGGGGCATGGAGAGCCCAGCCCAGGGACAGTCACCTACGGGGGCAGCGGAGAGCACCAAGCAGGAGGGAGGCCGGATCCAGCCATCGGCCTCCATCACAGTCACGTTCTAGCTGCTGACTCTGACATGAGGAGAGTGGTTTCAGGGAAGCCAAGGGAGGAGGGACTTTCAAGGACAGACTAGTCAAGTGATGTCAGATGCAGCTGAGAGAGCCAGTGCCCCCAGTATTTGGCAACGGGGTCCTTGAGGGTTCCAGAGGCCCTGGTCGCAGTGGTGCAGTGGAGGTCGAGACTGAACAGCAGCGAGTCTGGAGGCATCTCTTCAAAATAGCCTGGGTGAGAAGAGCAGGAGGGAAGTCAGAAAACAGCTGCAGGGAGATGAGGCCTCAAGGAAGCTTTTATTGTTATTTATTTAGGAAGGGAAAGACTTCATAGACTGAAGGGAAGGGACCAGTAGAAAAGAAACCCTTGAAGGATGCAGAAGGGAGAAGAGAGATGCCTGGTGAAATGAGGTCCTGGAGGTGGAAGGAGGGGATGAGGTCAAGGCACGGGTGAAGGGATTCTCTTTGGAGAGGAAAAACAGCACTAAGACCAAGAGGAAGAAAGGATGGGGGCTTCAGTGAGCTTCCAGGGAACAGGAGGTGGTGAAGTTCCCTTTGGTGGCTTCTGCGTTCCATGAGAAGGGGAGAAGGGCGATGGCTAGTAGCAAGGGCAGGGGGGAGAGTGGGAGTGGGAGGCAAGCAGGGAGAGGACAAGGGTCAGGAGGGCGAGTGTGAGGGACAGGAGAGACACCTCATCGGTGGTGGTTGAGGATGACGCTATGGCTGGAAGCAGGAACACCCAGTCAGAGAAGCAGTGAAGCAAAATGTTTAATCAGTGATGGTGGGAGGGTGTCAGGGATAAGCGGGAAAATAAGGCAAAGAAAAGGCAGCATGAGATGAGGAGGGAGCTGACCATGGGGAATAAATGAGGCAAGAAATAAGTGAAATTGAAAAAGGAGCAGTGACGGGAATGAGGTGCAGTTGGTGGTGGGAGGGAAGGAAGCAGGAGAGTGCTGGTCAGTGCTGAGAGCCCTGGAGCTGTCAGATGAGAGCAGCCACGGGATGAAAAAGGTTTGCCACGGAGAAGACTGTGACCCAGGGGCCAAGAGCAGTGACTTCGGAGTTGTTGGGTGCTGTCGAGTGGGCTCCGACTCATAGCCACCCTATGAACAACAGAACGTCCAACCCTGCCCGGCCTCACTGTCATTGCCATGCTCCAGCCCATCAGCACAGCCACTGGGTCAGTCCGTCTTTTGAGGGCCTTCCCCTCTTTCGCTGACCCTCCACTTTACCAAATATGACATCCTTCTCCAGGGACTGGTCCCTTCTGACAACATGACCAAAGTAGGTGAGATGAAGCCTGGCCATTCTCGCTTCCAAGCATTCTGGCTACACTTCTTCCAGGATAGATTTGTCTATTACTCTGGCAATCCATGGTATTTTCAGTGTTCTTCGCCAACACCACGACTCAAAGGCATCAACTCTTCAGTGGTTTTCCTTATTCCTAGGACCAAAAAACCAAACTCACTGCCATCAAGTAGGATCTGACTCATAGCGAACGCTCCTTGGGTTTCCGAGGCAGTATCACTGTAGAAGTAGATTGCCCCATCTTCCTTCTGAGGAGTGGCTGGTTGGTCTGAACCAGCCTTCTGGTTAGCAGTCACGTGCCTTAGGCACTGCGCCACCAGAGCTCCTTATTCCTAGGACAGGGACTAGTAGAGCCATGGATGACTCTTACAGGGAGCGTGAGATTCTGACACTAACGAGTTCTGTGATTCTAGGCAAGTCACTTCCCTTTTCTGAGCTTCAGTTTTTAGATCTATAAAACAGGAATGAGGTCTGTGCTGAGAATTCAAAGAAATAACCAATTTCAAAGTGTTTTATGCTCACCTGCCCTTCCTAGCTGGTTTCCTACCTCCTTCTAGATCTCAGCTCCTTTAATCTTCTGCCCTTCTCCATGCCAGCTCTAAGGGAAGTCTCTAGGGGGATCGCTCTGGGACAGAGAAAAGGCCAGCTCTAGGGGAAGTCTTTTTCTAGGGAATGTCCTTGCTCCTTTCAACATCTGTAGGCCCGTTCCTTGGAGGTCTCCAGGTCTTGGCATCAATCCTCCCCTGGGTCTAGGAGGTTCTCAGCACAGGGACTTCAGCTCCAAAGGACCTCCCAGTTCTCCTTGGTGGTCGTTGTTGCTGTTAAGTGCTGTCGAGTCGTTTCCGACTCATAGCGACCCCATGCACAGCAGAACGAAACACTGCCCGATCCCGCGCCAGCCCCACAATCCCTGCTATACTTGAGCCCATCATCGCAGCCACTGTGTCAATCCATCTCGTTGAAGGCCTCCCCCTCTTTCATCGACCCTCCACCCTACCAAGCATGACAACCTTCTCCAGGGAATGGTCCCTTCTGACAACATGACCAAAATAGGTGAGGCGAAGTCTGGCCATTCTTGCTTCCAAGGAGCATTCTGGCTGCACTTCCTCCAGGACAGATCTGTTAGTTCTTTTAGCAGTCCATGGTACTTTCAGCATTCTTCACCAGCACCACAACTCAAAAGCATCAACTCTTCTTCGGTCTTCCTTATTCATTGTCCAGCTCTCACATGCATACGAGGCAATTGGAAATATCATGGCTTGTGCCAGGCGCACCTTAGTCCTCAAGGAGATATCCTTGCTCCTCAGCACTTGAAACAGTTCCTTCGCAGTTGACTTTCCCAATGCTACACGTCGTCTAATGTCCTGACTGCTGCTTCCGTTGGCATCGATTGTAGAACCAAGCAACGTGAATTCCTTGACAACCTCAATCTTCTCTCCATTTATTGTGATGCTGCTCATTGGTCCAGTTGTGAGGATTTTTGTTTTCTTTATGTTGAGATGTAATCCATACTGCAGACTGTATTCTTCAACCTTCATCAGTAGGTGCCTTAAGTCATCCTCACTTTCAGCAAGCAAAGTTGTATCATCTGCATATTTCAGGTTGTTAATGATTCTTCCTCCAATCCTGATACCATGTTTTTCTTCAATAGTCCAGCTTCTCGGATTATCTGCTCAGCATATAGATTGAATAAGTGTGGAGAAAGAATACAACCCTGACGCACTCCCTTCTTGATTTTAAACCATGTAGTGTCCCCTTGTTCTGTTCGAACCACAGCCTCCTGGTCAAGGTACAGATTCCTCATGAGTACAATCAAGTGCTCGGGAATTCCCATTCTTCTCAAAGTTATCCATAATTTGTCATGATCCACACAATCAAATGCCTTTGCATAGTCAATAAAACACAAGTAAACATCTTTCTGGTATTCCCTTCCTTGAGCCAAGATCCATCTGACAACAGCTATGATATCCCTTGTTCCACGTCCTCTTCTGAATCCGGCTTGAACCTCTGGAAGTTCTCTATCAATATACTGCTGCAAACGTTTCTGAATTATCTTCAGTAAGATCTTACTTGCATGTGATATTAATGATATTGTTCTATAATTTCTACATTCTGTGGGATCACCTTTCTTTGGAATGGGCACAAATATGGATCTCTTCCAGCCAGTTGGTCAGGTAGCTGTCTTCCAAATCTCTTGGCATAACTGAGTGAGTGCCTCCAATGGGGCATCTGTTTGTTGAAATATCTCAATCGGTATGCCATCAATTCCCGGAGCCTTGTTCTTCGCCAGTTCTTTCATTGCAGCTTTGACTTCTTCCTTCATTACCATTGGTTCTAGATCATATGCCACTTCTTGAAATGGATGAAGATCGATCAGTTCTTTTTGGTACAGTGACTCTGTGTATTCCTGCCATCTTCTCTTGATGTTTCTTGCGTCATTCAATATTTTGCCCATAGAATCTCTCGATTGGTGGTCGTAGGTCCCTCCTTTCTCTGCTGACTTATTTAATCTCTTTTTTAACCCCAAAATCTTGTAGATTGTATCCTGCCTCATTAATATTACTGCCTATAATCCTGCCTCTTTAACATCTTGAGGTTAGGATTTACCACACAGAGCATAATTACATCAGACGGCCAAATGGAGAGTCACTGCATAACTGAGCATCATGGTTAGCCAAGGGGACGTGTATTTCTTTGGGCACAACTTAATCCGTTACAGTTCCTCTGATGAACTCATTTAAGGAAATAGTATGTACCCATTATAAAGTAGGTTTACATAGACTGAATAGTAATAAGGAAACTGATTACAAGTGAAGACTAAATATGATATGAATACATATGTACTGAATGTCATGAAAGGAGGAATACCAAACATTAATTATCATTCAGCAGGTCGTGGTGGTGCCCCTACTTGGGTCAGGCCACTAAAGATAACAGCGGTGACTAAGTGTTTAACATCAGGGTTAAATTTATGTAGTGTCAGAGTACATCAGCATTTTGTGACCCTGTATTTATGTCAAAAATATATATCCCAGCCCAGTGAAAGTTCCTCATCTTGGTCCATGATGCATGTCACTGAACATGCAGGCACTGAGCTGTGTCACTGTTTTCTGATGAGGAAAGACCCTAAACTACATCCTGCTCCTTTGCTGAATTAGCAGTGAGGCAAAGATAGAACATCCCTCATTAAAAAAAAAAAAAAAAGGCCCTAAGACAGAATCCTTAATCTTGCAGTGAATGCGTGAACAAGAACATGAAATGAGGGCACAGGTGCCCTTTGCCCCACCTGCTGCCACCCAGTTGATTTGGACTCATAAGGAGCCTACAGGACTGAGTAGAACAGCCCCATACGGTTTTCAAGGCTTTACTGGATCTTTACTGAAGCCGACTGCCCCATTTCCCCCCTACGAATGGGCTGGTCGAAATCCCGACTTTTCCATTGACAGCCCAGCGTTTTAACCACTGCGGCACCAGGGCCCTGCCTTTAGACCAATAAGTTAAAAATCCTTGAACACTCACGAGGCCGAAACTGCTCTTGTGCGAAAATGACGACTAGAACAACTTTTAGACGTCAAGCCCACCCGTAGGACCCGATCCCACCTAACCTTGAGCCCCGCCTGTCCCTCGCCCTCCACCCGACCCCTCCTTCCGGGACTCTCAGGCCCTCAGACGCCAGGTGGTTCCCTGGAGCCAATAAGTGTTCAGGCGCCTCAGAACCCCGCCCCCCTCTTGGCCAATGCGGTCAGAGTGTGACATGTTTTCGAGCCTTGCGCGGCACATGACAGGGCCCCCCCCCCACGCGTTCCTCTGGGTCCACCGGCAGGGGCCACGCAAAAGCCGCACCCCCCCACCCCATAGGCTAAGGGGGCCTCACCCTAAGCACCGCCAGTGTAACGTATCAGACCCCACTGGGAGGAAACCCCACCTCTGGTCGCAACTCTTTCAATGGAGTGAAAGGCCATCTCATAGCCGAGCTAGTTAGGGGAGCCAATGGGCAAAGGACTCACCCCGACGAGTGGCGCAATTAGTCGCGACTTGGCAGAAGCTGCCAATGGGACGGAAGGATCCGCCCCTAGCGTGGCTGCGGTGCCAATGGAACGAACCGTGACACCCTCTGGGCGGCACGTAGCGCCGGGAGCACGGCCCAATGAGACGGCAGGGCTGCTCCCGGGCCGAGCCAATGGCCGCTGCTCCCTTGCTCCCCCTAGGGCCCCACCGCGAACAGGCCTCCAGGGCAGGCTCGGGCTGGGGGTTCCCGCGGCGGCGGAGGGGAAGATGGCGGCGGCCGTGGTGCTGGCCGCTGGGCTGTGGGTAGCGCGCAGGGCGGTGGCGGCCGCGGGGCTGCGGGGGGCGCAGGTGAGGATTGGCTGCAGGAACGGGAGGGTGTCCCGCGCGCCCTCCAGGGCCCGGCTCCCGAAGGCGTGCACGGCTCCAGGGGCTTGCGGGGCCGGAGCCGGAGCGCACGATGTGGCCTCGGCCCCTACCGAGGAGCAGGCTCTAGGGTGCGATCCAATCAGAGTGGAAGTGGGGCAGCCTCTGCGCTGGAGACGTGAACTGGAGACGACCGACGCCCTGCACAGGGCCGGGCACCGAGATCGGGACAGGGTCACAGCAGCGGCTGATGCCCTCCCCTCCTACCTGCTCTGGGCAGCCTCCTTGGTGCCCCCTGGAGGGAGTGAGCTTTCCCTTTTGGGAGCTAGCCTGGTACTCCTTTCTAATGCGCACCAGTGTTACCTCTTATCTTCCCCGGCGATTTGCCAGAGCGACTCGAGGGTCAGAGAAATCGAATTCATCCTGGACCCTGCTGCCCCTTTTCCCAAAGCGACGCACTGAATTCAGTCTCCTCTGAACACTGCGCACCTGGAACGTCCCACCCCAATTCCCAGGGGGAGCTGACCTCACTTAGCTGACCTTTCACCTCCACTGACTCAAGGGACTGACT